ATTTATTTATATATTTCTTCATTAAAAAAAAGTTCATTTTCAATTCAATTCTTATCCTACAAGGAATTAAGTACCCTTCCAGTTTTCAAGTTATCTAAAAGGGTTAACATACCTAGCTTAGTGAAAGAAAAAATCAGTTGCTTATACCTGAAAAACTGTATTGTACAATAGCATAGGGAAGTGTAGGTATATAAAGTATAATAATTATATGAGTCGGGGTTTAGCTAGAACATTGGATCCAAGATTCATTTCATTTTCCATCAAGTAAAAATAACTTTAGCTATTTTCCTTAGAAACACGTTAGAACCAAATGATGAATCTCCCATCTTGTGAGATATCAATATGTCCTTTCTGTGACACAAACCAGCAACCTGCATATGTTCAAAAACAAGACTGCATATGTCCAAAAACATTCTATTTTTATGTTCTGAACAGTGCTAGATCCTATGTGCTGTATAAAGGCATATAAAATAGAGAATATATCTTATAGGGACTTACAAATTTTTGTTTAGTCATTTTCCATTTACATTTAGGAAAATGCTTATGAGGATAACCTAAAACAATATTATACACTACCATTTATCCTATACACACACCAGGTGTTGTACTAAGAGCTGCATATACTTTAAGAGACTTTATATTTTATATAAAAGAGGAAACTTGGATATCCAAGGCAGTACAAATAAGTCTAACCTGGTTTGGATAACTACAAAGCCTACAGTCTAACCACTACACCAGATTGCTTCTCAATGATTACACAATTAATCAGATGCTAAATTACATTACACAGATAATAGCTAAGAATAGCAAAGAATGAAGAGTTTACACATTGACTAGTGCTCTTAGAATGCAGTTTATGAAGGAGGCTAGGCTTCAGTTTGAATTTAAAGAATGATTAGTAGATAAATAAGTAAATAGAAAGGAGCTATGTAAACTCTAAATACCAGAGTGTATAAATCTTCTATGAAAACAAAAGGGCAACAACAATATGCAATGAATACAAGACAAGAATCATAGGTACGCGATGTATTCCAACACAGATATGTATCTGAAGTACAACAGTTTAATTTTACATATTATGGCACCAACATATATATGTGCCCTGGTGTTTAGAATGCCCAACCCAATAATGTCAACTTTAATTTATATTAAAGGACTTCAGAAACCTCTGGAAAGAAAATATGTTTTATAGGGGCCAATGCTGTGGTGTAGCAGATAAAGCCACTGTCTACAGTGCTGGAATCCTATATGGATGCCAGATTGAGATTCGGCTGCTTCACTTCTGATCCAGCTCTCTGCTATGGCCTGGAAAAGCAGTAGAAGATGGCCCAAGTCCTTGGGCCCCTGCACACACATGGGAGACCCACAGGAAACTTCTGACTCCTGACTTGGGATAGGCCCAGCTCCGGCCATTGCAGACATTTGGAGAGTGAATCAGCAGATGGAAGACCTCTCTCTGCCTCTGCCACTGCCTGTCTGTTTGTAGCTCTGCCTTTCAAATACATAAATAAATCTTTTTTTAAAGTCACCTTTAAAAAAAGAAGATATGTTTAATAATGTTATCATAACTATTAAGGGTAGAAGAAAGGAAAGAATTAAAATCAAGTTTATCAAATTTTATTTTATTTTACTACACAAAATCTAAGCCCCAAGGAGGTCTCTTGATTTATAACCTCTCAAATTAATATATAAATCCAATATCTGTGTAATAGTTTTGGTTTGCTATTACCTTCCTCCATAGCACCAGTCAGGAGGATTTAACACCAAGCATTCCAAGTACTTAAACTCTAAGACTGCATCTCCAGGTAGGAAGAACTGAAAAGTCTCCAGATTCTCAGGTTAATCCTGCTTTCTCGTCTATTTACTTCAGGATGACTCATTCCAGTAAGCACCACCTCACCTATCATGGCTTCCTCTCTCACCTTTTCCAACCAAAGTTATTTTCAACACTAGTCTTTTTGAAAGTAGAAAAATGCAGAACTGGATGTGACCTGACACAAAGAACAGGAGTACTCACAATTTTTTATATTATCTATTCATTCAATTGAAAGGCAGAGTGACAAAAAGGGAGAGAGACACACACACAAATAGAGAGAGAGGAAAAAAAAAAGGAGGAAGATCTTTAATTTGTTGGTTCACTTCTCAAATTTTCAACATAGCTGGAGTTGGGATAGGCAAAGCCAAGAGCCTGGGACTCTCTCCAAGTTTCCCATGTGGGTGGCATGGACCCAAATACTTAGGACATTTTCTGCTGTCTCCCAGGCACATTAGTAGAAAGTTGGATGGGAAGCAGAGGAGCCAAGAATCAAAACAGGCTCTCCAATACAGGATGCAAGCATCCTAAGGAGTAGCTTCACTCACTACCAATACTATGATGTCTGCTACAGTAATAACTCTTTAAAAAAAAAACTAAATTCTTGCCTAGGAAAGAAGTCCCATTAACAATCTCTCAAAAAATGATGCTAAAAATGTCACAGAAAAAGACAGCAAGTAAAATATGAGTGAGTCCAAGAAAATAATTAAAGTTGATTCATGGGACACCTAAAAATCAGGCCTACAGTAACACTGATATTTTCCGTTTCTTTAAGAAATGGATAAAAGAAGAAAATATATCAGGAGAAAACATAAATAATATATAGGCAAAGGTCAATCTATCAGCCTCCAGCATCCAGGAAACCAGGAAACAATGCCCTTCCAAATTTTAAAAGGATAGCAAAACATATCCATTTTAATTACCCACAATCTGAAACCAAATCTTTTGGCATACTTCTTTCTCATAGCAACAACACCACCAATAATATTTATTGGGTATTTGTGATGGGCCAGATACTGTCATGAACACTGGAAAGGACACAACATTGAAGGTGACAAAAAAGGCAATTTCCTTATGCAGTTTACATTCTGTCACACTGAGGAATAATGGATGAGAGAACAAACCATGACTAATTCTCTAGTACAAAGAATCCTGCCTTAATATGGGACACCTTTCTTGTAGAATTGGCAGTTTTTACAAGGACCTAACTATTTTCCAGTTGGAGAAAAAAAGCACCTTCCAGTATTTGCTTATTAGGTTTTTGGAGCTATAAAGGAATAGGATGGGAGATAAAAGACAAATTCTACCAAATCAGAAAAGATCTGATATTCTGACCCTTTCAGTCATGCCCCATACAGGAAATGCAACATCCAAGTTTGGAGTCAATCTGATAAGATTTGAAGCCCAGCTTCATGTTTTATCACTATGACTATAAGAAAGTTACTTAATTCTCTTAAGAGTTTTTTCTCAGGTGTAAAATGGCAATAATAAAATCAATCCCACCATATTATTATAAGAATTTAATGACTTGATTCATAAATGTTTCTATAATATTAGATGGCATGTAATTGTTACTTAATAACATATACATATAACATATACACCCCATGTGCCCATTTTTTCCTCAAACATGGACAATTTACCTATCTGTCCTCAGTGCCATTCTCACAGAGCTCTATCCTTTTACCCTCGAAGCATTCACCTTCACCCAGATTCACAACTGTCTAATGTAAGAATCACTGGAATGTTCTAATGAGAAAGGATAAAAGAGGACAATGACTACTGTCTGCCAAATAAAATACCCTTCAGTAATAAAATACGGTCTTGGAAACAAAACTGTGCTAAAAATTGCACAGGCCAGAGCAGTGACGCACAATGTGCATTTTAAGCAGCTACATCTGAGAGCTCGCTGTAGCAGTTTTCAGTAACTATGACTGTGTTATATGTGCTAATATCTAGGTCAGTACTAATTTTTTAAATAAAATTTACATGGATATTGTGGCCTTTTCATATATATTAAAGTATAATTTGCTTGTAATATTATACAAAACAAAGTTCCAGGGAGAAAGAAAGAAAGAAAAGAAAGACCATAGAAAGGTCAAATAATAAATGTGATAGACTAAGATCCAGAATGTAACTCTCTTTTCAGGCCAATATTTCTAGATTACATCATAAAAACTTAATGAGGTTTAAATATAAGAAGTCTTGCTTTGAAAATCCTCATCTAAAAGACCTAAAATTTGTAAATTGGGCAATGACCAGAATATTACACCCTTTGCCACACCACAGGAAGACTCTTAAGTGATGGACTTGGTGCCTGGCCATGCAAGATAGTCATTTAGTCATTTTTCTAGATGATATCCATCACTGAGCACATCCCCAAATTTCATGCAACCTAAATTAAACGTGTAACTGGCTGTTCTGATAGGAATAAACATTCTATTAAAGAAAAAGCTTTACAAATCTGACACCTAGTGGCTGTGAAGAAACTGGAACAGACCAGCCCTCGAACTACTGTGGGACTAACTCAAAAAGACCCAGAATTTAATTACTGTGAATATTGGGTTTATAAAGTATCAATTCTTAGAGAATCTTGTAAAAGCTTATTTTAGCTATGGATTTATCTTGAAGCCTGCACAAGGAGGCAAAAAGACTTGCATTTGTAAAGTATATTTTCCTTCAACCTTCCACATGAAGCAAATGTTTAATTATTCAAAGATAGAACAAAAAAATAAAGACCGATTAATATTTTGGCATATTTTTTACTCTTTGCCTTCATTTTATATATGCATCCACAGCTTTTTCTCCTTCAAGTTATTTTTCTCTTCAGCTATCCCCCTGCCAAATATAAACACTATGTGACCAAGCCATCATAGAGGTTACCTTTTAGCCAGAGACATTGTTAGTCAAAGGGAAGTTGGACCTTCACAAACCAGCAGGAGTTTTCTTTAGGCGAGGTATGGGCACACATGTGGAAACCCGTAACATTCACATCTAAAAGCAAGGACCACACTGAACACTGCAGGAAGCCGTAAGAACACAGTGGATCAACGCAGTACAACCTATTTGTGCCCTAACCCTTAGAAGGTAAGTCTCCCTAGACCCACCTGTACCTCTCTCTGGCAGGCAAAACAGCAGGAAGTCTAACATGCTCCTTTCCTTTGCCAAGGAGAGCTCTGACTCCTACCTGCTGACGTTTGAAGGCTAAATAATCCAGATTTTCTAGCTCTTTCCCAAGCTTCTGGTATGTTTTCTGGAGGTCAGATTTGTTGGAAACGTTTTTAAGAGACTGAAAGGTCCTTTGAACCTGAAATTGAAAACAAAAGATCATTTAAGATAGCAGAATATTTTTCTCAAATCCCCAGCTAGCTAACACAGAGAAACAGGCAATAATGAACCTCCGTTTCTCGCTTCATTAATACAGAGATAAAAATTGCTAGCTAATTATCTTTCAATCAAATAATTAGGAAAAATTGTAAGGAACCAGAAACTGTACATTAAGTACAACCAATGTTAACACAAGAATTAGAAGTATATTTAGTCCTCATTCTAATATATTAGTATAGATCATTTTAAAAAAACTTCATATATTAGGATAACTGTTTCTTTTTTTAAAAAAAAGGAAGCATCAAAACAGTTCCCATATCCCAATCACTAAAACAAATTTATGAGAAGTTAGCTGCCTGCATAATATTTTGCTATAATAGCATGGGACCTGGCTTACCTCTGTAGAAATATATATGCAAAATAAATAACTTCAGCAAGGAATATCTCTTAGGGTTTATGCTTTGAGAAGGAAGGAGCACTAACATTCTGATGATGGAAGCACATGTGACATGTTCAGCAAACATTTATTCACTTCTGCTCTATAACATAGCTGAGTTATGAAATCAGTTCTGCTGAATCAGAATGCTCTCATTTTTAACTCAGATACTAGATAAATGCAAAGGTGACAAACTGCTGTAGATCACAGAAGACTGTCTGCTACTGATAATTAATTAAGCAAAGGGAGCTCAAAAGAAATTGAACTCTGTTCATTTTTAGTAAATTAGAACATCCTATGGAGGGTTAATGATTGAGAATGTCAAATAATGTAATTGCCAGATATGTGCATTTGCTCTATCTTTATGTCATTATTTGCCATATTCTCACTCTTGTGCTATTAGATAGATTTCCAGATAGAGACTTTACCATCTTAAACTCACCAGACTCAAATATGATTATGATGCCATGAGACAGGTTAATAAGATTTTATAGAATATAATTAAGTTTCCACGAAAACGATTAGACCCTTACTATATCAAACTCATGAAATAAGTCATATTGGAATGACATGATACTGAATTAAATTCTCAATTCCACGAAAGCAACATGTTTATCTCAATCCAATGTGACAGAGTAAAAAGAAATGGGAAATAACAGTGCTAAACTTCCACAGCAGGACAGTAAATTAAATTCTACAAATAATCACCTAGAACCTACTATGCACAAAGCGCTGTTAATATAAAACATACTTTCTTCCCTCAAGGAACTTAAACACTACAGAAGAAACTAGATATGACACTCAGAAATGAGAGGACACTGGCATTTATTGAGTGCCTGCTCAGTACCAGGTGCTTTATGCATTTCAATTTAACTTTCAAAAGAAGCACAAGAGTTCCTACTTCTCTTCCTATTCTGTGAGTAAACTGACACTCATAAAGTTTGACTGAATCGGGTTCTTCTTATTAAAGTGTTTATGCTCTATTATGCCATTAACTCTAACACAAGGGAAAGTAGCAAAGAGAGTTAAAAAAAAAAAAGACAAAATATACCTGCAGCAAAAACTCAAAAAAAAAAATCACTGATACTGCCTGAGGGACATAGCCCATACAGAAGACATGAGAGAATCTAAATTGGGCCTCAAAACACAGGAATACAAGAGTCTTCTGTGGGAACCAATTCTACCCATCAAGCCATCAAACATCACCAAAAATCTGTCATCAAAGAAGGAGGTACCTTTCTCTGAAGGGAGGAGAGAACTTCCACTTTGACCATGGCCTTGTCTAAATATGATCAGAGTCAGTGAACTCAGGGGGCTTCCATAGCCTTAGCAGCTCATGACAAGAGCCTAGGGTGATTACTGAGGCCATAAACAAGAGTGTCAATTTGGTAAGTCAACAACAGGAGTCACTGTGCACTTACTCCTCATGTAGGATCTTTGTCCTTAGTGTGCTGTACATTGAGATTTAATGCTATAACTAGTACTCAAACAGTATTTTTCACTTTATGTTTCTGTGTGGGAGCAAACTGTTGAAATCTTTACTTAATGTATGCTAAACTGATCTTCTGTATATAAAGAGAAACGAAAATGAATCTTGATGTGAATGGAAGGGGAGAGGGATTGAGAAAGGGGAGGGTTGTGGGTGGGAGGGACGTTATGGGGGGGAAGCCATTGTAATCCATAAGCTGTACTTTGGAAATTTATATTCATTAAATAAAAGTTAAAAAAAAATCTGTTCATTTTCCTCCTCTTGTAACATAGTCAACAAGTTCCTTTTGACACAATTTTAATAATCTTTATATTAAATATTTACTATGTTTTATGATCATATCTGACCTTGCCCACTTCTTGATTCTTTTCATTATGCTCAAATCAAAATATACCAGATATAAGATTCTAAACACTTAAAATAATTCTGAGTTATTTAATTAATATAGGCTATTTTACCAAAATCCATTTAATTCTAAAACATTCTTTATCCTCTGCACTTTCTTTTCACTAAGAAATGCCACTGCTACTTCTTAAATATTTCTTTTTTGCATTATCTCTATGAACTTTACACAATGCCAAATGGGAATTTCAGGGGAAATACAGTTGTATCACTTCAAAATAAGAAACATGGAAAAGTTATACTTCTGGTAATATGTCCATGACCAAATAAAGGGGTAGAAAGTCTAGTAACATTACATCATCATAAGAATATTTTAAGTAAAGGCAGAGTTTATATAATGTAGAGATTTTGCTGGAACTTTCATTGTCAGAACTTATATCCTCAATTTATCAATATTAAAGAATTCCAAGTACTCTAAACATATTATGATTTCAGTCATTTCAAATTTTTTTCACTTACAAAAGCAAATACTTATCATGAGGAATCATACAAAATCTATAGTGTAATAACCAGAATCTATAAGAAGAGATGCAAACAATTTAAAAGCAAAAGTAAGACAATTCAATTTAAAAATGGACAGTAGACCTAAACAGACATTTTTTTATGGGAAGGCTCAATATCACTAATCATCAAGGAAATACAAATGAAAACCATAGATATCACCTCAACCCAGTAAGATCAGCTATTACCAAAAAACACAAAAGAACTGCTGGTGAGGATGTGGACAAAAATGGAACCCCCAAACACCATTGGTAGGAATGTAAATGAGTATAGCCATTGTGGTAAACCATATGGAGCTTCCTCAACAAACTAAAAATAGGGGCCAGCATTGTGATACAGCAGGTTAAGCAATAGCCTGCAACACTGGGAGCCCATATGAGTGCAAGTTCTAGTCTCAGCTGTTCCACTTCCAATCCAGCTCCCTGCTAATGCACTTGGGAAAGCAGTGGAAGCTGGAGATGGCCCAAGTGTATGGGCCCTTGTTATGCCTGTAGGAGATCCAGATGGAGTTCTGGCTTCAACCAAGCTGAATTCTGAAGGTTGTGGCCATTTGAGGAGTGAACCAGCAAATAGAAGTCCTCTCTCTTTCCCTCTCTTTCTATAACTCTACTTTTCAAATAAGTAAATAAGTCTTTAAAATAAAATGACCTAAAAATAGAACTATCATATAATCCAGAAATCCCACTTCTGGGTATATTTTATTTATATATATATATATATATATATATATATATATATATATCTCCAAGGCATATATCATTGTAAATCATTCTGTCAAAGAGACATCTACATCTCATATTTATTGTAGAACAATTTACAAAAGCCAATAGATGTAAAAAACCAAAGGGTCCATCAACTGATGAATAAATAAAGACAATATGGTACATATACAAAAAGGATGAAAGCCAACAAAGTAGATCTCATTGCTGGTTATCAGAGGCTGAGGAAAGTAGGGAGAGATTGGGAAAGACTATTTAATGGGTACTAAGTAATAGTTAGACAGGAATAATAAGTTCTAGTCTTCTATTGCACAGTTGAATGAATATAGACAATGATTTTTTAAAAAGCTGAAAGAATGTTGAATGCTTCCACCATAAAGAAATGATAAATGTTTGAGGAGACAGATATGTTTACCTTGATATGACATTGCATAATGTACAAACGTATGAAAACATCACATTTATACATAAATTTGTATAATTTTATGTAATAGTTATTACTGATAAAAAGAAATCTACAGTGTAATCTGAAGTTAGATTCCCTACTAAATATAGCCTATCCCCATCTGCCCACTAATACACCTAAAGATGCTATAGATTAAAAAGCAATAATTTTACTTGGCATATGCAACCAAAATACAGAAGATAAAAATAAGATTGATTAAGCTGTGCCTTATATTTTAAAGAGATTTGATATTGACTTGATTTGATGATTTTTCTTTCCAACAGGTCACTATGCTTGATCACTGAAACACACTGCTGAGATTTTCCACATTAGTTCAGTGCACAGCAATTTCATATATTGATTATTTCTCAAAATAAATGATCTCCTAGTTGTAAATAAGTAAGGCAAGGAATCACAATTAATCAAAGAAATTTTAACATGAGCCAAGGAACCCAAAACAATTTTTAAACACTGAATTTATCATGTGTTAACTTTTTGACTCATTATAGTATTTTCATATTTTTTAAAAGACCAGTTTATCAATATAAACTAGAAATACTTAGATCTGTTCTAATGTTATTGGCAGGCATATAAAATAAAATTGATCAGGTTTGTGAGCTGGAAGACCACGCCCCTATGTGACCGCATGCCCCTACCTGGCTACACCTGTGCACCCACCAGCCAATCAGGTTAATTAACCACTCCCCATTGGAAGTAGATTAAAAGCCTGAGACACGGTGTGCCCTCTCCATTCCTTGGCCTTTTGCCAGTGTGTGGGCTTGTGCTGGCCTGCGCCTCCAGGGCATGTGTGGACCACCCGCCCCATGCTTTCTGGTCTAGATGCTCCTCCACAAGGCTGGTTCCTGGTACTCGGTATGAATCCAGATTTATCTCTCTCTTTTTTAGATAAAGCTCTCACTTTCCTATGCATCTTTCTCACTGAATAAAAGTTTAAAAACGTACCATGCTGCCTTGTTCATCTATGCCG